TTTTTTTAGACAGACCTATGAATATTACAATTAATATGGTTCAGTTTCAAGCCATTCTATCTATTCTTTAGAACGTTTCAAAGCCTCGTAACTGCTCTGTGCGTAATCAAAAAGTATTTATTTTATTAAATCTTTAATTCTTTGCTCATTTGCACAAATAATTGGTGAAGCCCTGAAAATAATTAACACAAATGCAAATACATATATGCAAATTTTAAATTTGTTCAAAATAAGCATGATTCACTGTTTTTTTTTTCTGTAGAACCTGTCAGGTTTTTCAACATTTGTGAAAATAATGACCTCTCTTATCACGGGATCGCCTAAACAAAAAAAGCATGGGGACATCGCAAGAAAGTAATTTGAAATGTTGGGCTCCGCTTCAAGTTTTTATGGCTGTTAGATAGTCGGTGCTTAGCATATAGCCGAGTACACTCATGATATGAACATACCTATGTATACATATACATATGTACAATAGGGTAGTAGAGGCCTTAGTTTATTATTCGAGTGTGTGCATAGTTAGATAAGTGATATGGCTGTGCACACACAAATATATTGCCTAATCAGACAAGGTGGCGTTATTTCAAAAATGATTGTTCTTTATCAAATGAAGTGAGTAAAGTAATTGACAATAAAATAAATGCGCTCCTTAAATACAATTTCTATACATACAGCAGTAACAACAACAACAACTATGGTAAAAACGCTTTTTGGGGTTCAACAGAGCTTTGATTGGTTTCTAGGCCAAGTGGTTGCTAGTGCTTCATTGTTAATGACAACAGTGGCTAGCATAATGACATTAGTGCGCTAAAAAACCAAAAACCGAAAACTAAAATCCAAACACAACAATTCACTCAGTCAGCATTGCCGGTGCTGTCGACGTCGCAGTCAGCGTCGTCTAATGAGCTCCATGATGAATATGTCGAGCTCAAACATACATACATACAAACACGTATACTCGCATATAGTTTTTAGATTTTCGTGCTTTCCAAACCACGCTTTGCCTTGCCAGCCACTGTGGGTCCGTTTATTGCTGGCTGGCTGGCGGACACAAAAGTGCTGTTATATGAATGAAATGAAACTGACATGCGCACCCGTCTCTGCTCCCTCGGTCCCAATCTCCTCCTCCCCATCTTCAGCGACAGTGCCCGCCAACGGCAAAATGTCGACAACAATGAGAAATCATAAGTATGAAATACAGGCGAACATACTCGTACATACTTACATAAAAGCATATCTACAAAGCATTCGTACCTACATACATACATACATACATTCATACAATAAAAGTAATAATAATAAGCATAAGGTGACGACGGGTGGCTACACTAAGTGGACCGGCGGGGCGAGTAGGGGCAGAAGGCGGCTTGTAGGGGGCCGTCAAGTATGCCCAACAGCTAAAGCGAACAAATGAGCGAACGACTGAAAAAAAACGAATGCGCAGAAGGCAAGCTGGCGACGACGAGAGCTGCAGAAGCACAAACACAAGCAAAAGAAGAGGAAAAAAGCAGAAGCAGACGTATGGACGGTCGGTCGGTCTCATGAAAATCATGACTCATACAGTTCAGTTGTGGCTGTAGCTGTTGTTGTGTTGTTGTTGGTTTTGTTGCCGCTGTCGTATTTCTCGTTTAATTTTTTCTTCGTGTTTCAATACTAATGTGTTTTGGCAGCGCAATATGAAAGAGCATGGGAGAACTTGATTGAAGGCGAGTGCGACACACTGAGAGGGAGAGAGCGGAAGAAAGATAAAAATATATTTTGAAAATGCTTAGCCTAATAGGTGGGTGTTGGAATGGGTGGAGATGCTTTAGTGGAAGGGTGGGTGGGTGGCATGGTAATATTGCTATTGCTCTTGCTGTTGTTGTTGCTGAGGTGGTTGATAGGTGAGTGGGTGTTTTCTGGTACAATTTTGGGGTGGCATTGATTTTATGTGCACATGGTACATACATACATACTATATACATATGTACGTGCGTATGTATGCACATGCATAGGCACAAGCCTTAAGGTGTCATTCAAAACTGAAACTAAGTATTACAGTTACATATATTTTGTATCTGAGGAAGATGGATCTCATGAAAAACTTGTGTTTAACTAATGGCATGTTTAAAAATTACAGGAATATCACTCACAGTTTAGGCAAAACAGCCCTTAATAAAATAAAATTATAAACATAAAGAAACTTATTAAAAAATAAAAACGATTAATTCAAAATGGACAATCTATCATTTTTATTTAATAATTAGTAGCATTATCAATCAAATTTTTATTGGGTTTTCCACTCAATGGATGGATGTGAGTTGCGAAACCGACAACTTGCAGGTCTCCTAAAAGTCACGCACTAAGGTGTAGTAAAGAATATTATTTTTCTATTTAGCTCGCTAGTTGGTTGATAGTTATTACAACTACTTAGTACAGCAGAAGAAATACGCACTATACAGTAATATAATTGGTAATATTTAAGTATTCAGCATGTAATGCTTTTGCCTTGCAATAACAGCAACAACAACAACAAAGTCAGCAGCTGTTCTTACTCAACTGACGACGACCCACGCACCTGACCATCAGCCGTCGCGTCACAGTCGAGGCCACGCACAAGGATATTCAGCCGACGATGGCGATGACTCATTCATAAACAGGAACCCTCATACACACACGAACGCTCAGCGTAAGCAGAAATTTTTGTGGCACGCTGGGAGCGAGTGCAAAACAATTGGCGGTCGTTTGCCCGTCTCATTTCAACATCCGCCCGCGCCACACTTCGTCCTGCTGCGACTGCCTGCTTTAAAAATAGAACATATGCCAAAGAGCACGGCAGCGACGCGTCGTTGGCGTTGACGGCGGCATAACGTTGGCTGCGGGGGTGAAGTGCCAGTGGCGGGCGGCGCGCGCAATAAATAGCAACAACAAAAAAAAAACGTACAAAACAAAAATCGATGCGGCTGGTTGAATGCTACAAGGAGTGCTGATGTTGTTGTAATTGTGTTCCACATTGTGCATTGTGAGCGACGCCAGCGACGGCCACGACGCCGTCGACGTCGATGAGTCATGCAACATGAGCAGCAACAGTGCTGGCCAAAAAAACAGGCACACCCCCTTTTCTTTTACAAATTTCGATTTTTGTGGAGGACAAAAGGCAGGAATGCGTACGTGACGCAAGTCTCGGGCAACCCTTGCTTTCATTGCCCGTCTATGTGTATGTGTGTGTGTTTGGGCTTATCAGTAAGGACGTTTGCGGCTACTGCTTACGTCACATTTGCATAAAATGTCCATTACAAACAAAAGTAGACAGCAGAAGAAATAGAAGAGGAAAAAAATGTGAGAAATATACATACAAGATAGTAGCAAAGTGGACATAAGTGGACGACTAACCGTTTATTCTTTAACCCATTAAGGCCCACAGTTAGATAAAAGACTAGGTGTGAAAAGGTATACATATTATAACTATAGCTCCTAATCGGTGTAAAAGCCACCGTTACTCAAATAACCCTTTTGCCTATTTTGATATCACAATCAAATTTTTCATTTTTCATTTTAACAATTCCGAGAAACCTGAAGTTTTATAGAAAGCATATTTTAATTTTATGACTAAGATATAAAAAAAAATTACTTGTAACGATTCTTAGGTTGAGGTTGGAGTCCCATTAAGAAAACATGAAATTTCTAATATAAAATCAGCATCTCCTCTATAGTTGGTTGAAGGAAATTAGGTTACCTTTTATTTTCAGTAAGCCTTCTTTCTTATATCACATTTGGCCCAAGCATTCTCCTGTAGAGTAGCTTTTAACGAAAAGACGAAGCGTGGCCTGAAATGGGTTAATACTGAGGGAAAGCAAAGCAAATAAAATACAGGAGCTTGCCCCCAACCCCCAGTCACACTCACACATACACACACACACACACAATAATGGGTAGGAAACGAAGTTGAAGCCGCAAACGAGTCGCAACGACGATGACGACGTTGCCTGCGACGCCGCCAAGCTGTCTGCCAACGCCAACACGCAACAGCAACTACAATAACAAAATGACAACAACAACGACAGCGGCTACGAATGGCGTGGAAAGTGTAGGAGCTGGAGAAAAGGAGAATAGGGAGAGACAGAGAGAGGGCCGGCCACAAGACAAAAAGGAAGCGCGCGTTTTGGAATGCTTTGTTGCGCATACGACGTGTTGTCTCTGAATTGCCTTTTATTTGAACAGCTTATTATTGTTCATGTTGTTGTTGTTGTTGTTGTTGTTGCTGATGACCTACCTGTCTACTAATTCTAAATGAAATATTTACAGCATTTAAAGCGACACTAACAACAACGGCAACAACAACAAAGGCTCGTGATTAGCTACGCCACACGTGCCAAATAGTGATCTAATAAAAAACAAAAATAAAAGCTTAAGAATATATCGCATATATAAATATGTATGTATGTACGAAGCATTTTCCATACATATGGAAAAATGCGATTGACGTCAGCAGATTTTGCCATGGTAATTAATATACATATGTACATACACATATGTATATATGTATGTATATAAAATTGTATATTTGCTGCTTTCATTTAAAATAGAGGCCAGAAAGTGCTTAAGACAGCGCAAAAAATTAAATAAGAATAAGAAAGAGAATAAGCAAAGAAAAAGCAGTGTATGAATTTTCCATTGAACGAAACGAGCTGCAGCAACAACTACAACTACACCAAGAACAACAACAAATCCAAAACCCAAACATGCTACAAAACGGCGCAAAAGGGAAGTGGGTTTGTACGTAGAAGTCTGTTTAAATCGTCGTCTCGTTACCGTTATGCAAAACCCCACGGCATCCAATAACAAGTCACGTTTTCCAATCGCAGTTCCACAAAACGGGCAACGATGACGACGATGACTAAGCGCGAATCTGACTGTAAACTCAATTTCAAATCCAAACTCAACTACAACTTCAACTTAAAGTCTAATGCTTAAGCTGGAGGTTGAACTCTCCAGATAGGCAAGAGAGGATTGACACTTACCTATAAAGTCGTATGCCTCCTGAAAGTACTGTTTGATATTTTGATGGGGCGTATCGCTGGCAGGTATTTGCATATACTTCAAGCCAGCTAAATGACTCTCGCTGGGACTTTGGCAGGTAACATTGAGCACACAGTTGGCGCCAACGCTGCTGGGATCGTCGGCATCGCGGCCATTGCCCAGCAATAGATGTGGGAAAACTGGCGAGGCGGGATGTGTTTCGATATCTGTGTGGGCGATAGAGAGAGAGAACAGGAAAAACGAATGGCAATTAGCACAAATGTTCATAGGCAATGGAAAGTTCCTTAAATACAAATATTCAATGTACTCGTATTTGATATTCTATTTTTGTAGACTGATGCAATTAGTTCAGCCAACAATATTGATAAATGACAGAGAAGTGCACCTAACAAACCAGAGGATGGTTTCTGGTTTCTATCAATCTTTGACTAACATTATCATTAATTTGATGTACCTTAAATGAAATAATATAGAGACAACAATTCATGTAAATGAGTTTACATCGCATAATACTAATTATTATATAACGATATCCGAAGTTTTACTCTCCTTGTCCAAAAATTGTCAAATCCTATCCCCTCCCTGTTATAATTATTTAAAATTTGATACACTATATTCTTCTTTTATATTATTCAGGCTTATGGAAGCTATTTTAGATATTGTTCTAAAATATAAAGCACTTTGCTAGGAAGCCGCAGCAATGTCTGGCTAGTCAGTCATTCAGTCATTAACGTGCAAATAAAGAGAGAGTTGGCATTCGAGACGTCATTTCACAATAGCCAGTGTGGATGGATGAGTTGCTGATGAGGATGATGATAATAATAATGATGTCTGCTGATGAACGGATTCGACAACGGGCGAAGTCATCATCTATTGGCAGTGTTTGGCGAGCTCTGGGGCATGAAAATGTGTGTATCTACTACGTCTAAGTTTTCTATACAACACAAATTGTTTATTTTTTTTGTTTGTTTGTGTTGTGCGCCTTCATTTTGTTTGTTGTTGTAGTTGTTGTTGCATGAGTCATGCAACCGCACAGCAGTTCATTTTTTCGTTATTGGCATTTGTTGTTGTGGCTGTTGGTAGGGTGGGCGGCTAGTTCATGCCTCAGGGCCGATGTGTGGCGGTGGTTGGCGGTGGCTGCCAACCATCTCACAGCAATTTGCGTCGTTGAGTTCGTAGCACTTTCAATGAGGCGCACAATTGTTGCTGTTATTGTTGTTGTCATCGTCGTCCATTTATACATTTGATGTGTATATATAGAGCTGTGTATATATAAAAGCTGTATCTATGTATATCTATCTATTCAGTTTTTATATGCCTTGCGGTTGCCTTTGCCAGCATAATGCAATGCTCCCATTACTCTAATTTATTGTTAATTGATAACTATGGCAACTGAATATATGTACATATGTACATTGCTGTGACTCTGTTTTTTTTTTTTTTTGGGCTTTGTATTCGCTGCAACATCGCATGACTATGTGGGTCACCACAACAACTAACAACTCATTCTCCATGGGCCCGGAAATCATTTATCGATTAGTCAGCCAATTCAGGAAACTCCCCCTTGACAATTACATTTTAAGTCCACGGTTGACAGTCATGGAATTTGTCGCCCAGCGTGTTGATAGCCCACAAAATTAACCTTTGGCTGAAATAAGTACGTGTATAAATGTACCCTTACATAGGTTTGTATATGTACATATATAGATATTTATAAATATGTATGTATGTACATGTGTCAGATATTTGCAATTAAAGCCAACGGGGGGTTACCACAATATACACTTATGTTTAAATAAAGACATATGCACAATGAGTCAACATCAATAACAATTTGTCGCATATTTGTAAACAGGAATTGGATAAAACTTTGCGCCTAGCAACTACAACAACTGCAACAGCAGCAATTACTTGTGATTTGCGACTTGTGCGTAAGCGCCAAAACTGTCAAGACAAGTTATGGCACGGGAGCTGTGCGAGGTGTGGCAAGACGAGATGAGGTAAGGTGAGGCGTTGGGCAGCACGTAAATCTCGCCGCAGCCATAAAAAACAAATCAGCAATAACAAAAATGCAGCCATAAAAGTCGCACAACGAAGCTAAAGCCGACTACTAAAAATCTATTTACATACGACGTGATCGCACGTTTTGCAGGGCAATGCAATCCAGCAGATGGGGAAGGTGGGAGGTGGTAAGAAGTAATTCTACTGTGTTGACACTTCTTGATGACAGTGAGTAATGCTTGGCTAACCCTACACTGAGAGCATTCTTGTGAAATAATTATATATGTATACCCATCTTCAACAATGACATATGTGTACTAAGGATTGCCTAATAATATTTTGATTTTAATTCTTAAGATTATGTGCATAGCTTTAAACAATATTTTCAGAGAATTTAGTCTTAGAACAAACATGCATACACAATTCTTGATAAGATTAACATTCCCAGAAAACAAACCTTGCCAACTAAATCGACTATTTAAAAAGCATACCTTCTCTTTATCTACACAAACTTTTACCCAAACATAATTTGTATTTGTGCAGTTATTTTTTTTTTTAACAAATAAATTATTTTTTTTCTGAGTGTGCTAACCCAGCATTCTGAATCCGTCCTGTTAGACTGCTATTAAGTGCTGCTTATTAGACTCGGACTCTGAGAGAGAGAGCCATGAATGTATGACATTGAAAATCTCAGTGCTTTCTGTTACTGTTGCAGTTGTTGCTGTTACTGTGCTGTTGTTGTGACCTAAGTGTGCGATTCTGTTGTTAAATTTTTTTGCATGTTCTGCTTTCTCGTATGCACATGTCGGTTTCATAATGCGAAAAAGTAAAACAGACGAAACGTCATGTATAATATCAGAGAGCACGTGCTAAAACAATAACAAAAACAACATGGCTTGTACATATGTACGTTTTATATGTATGTATGTATGTATGTTTATAATGTTAAGCAATGCCAGTCTCTGCAAGTTCCATGGCGAAAAACACAGTGCAGGGGGGCGGGTGACATTGCAATCAATGTTATCGTGTGAGATGGAAATAAAGGTGTGAAATGTGGAAGGGGGTCTCTGCCAGGGCTGCTGCGCAGTTATCACAAGCGATTGCTTGTTGGTTGTTGTCTTGTCTGATCGCTCGTAGTAAAGTAGGAAATGAAATTCAATTAAAAGCACAAACTGCAAAAACATGCAAATATTTTTGCCCGAAGAAATTTGTCGCGCTGAGGTGAGTGTGTGTATGAACATGTTGAGCCAGTTGTAACGGTAAATTACTAGATACGACGACAATCAAGTACAGTCACGCTAAATGAAAAACCGGCCATTTCCTCTGATTATTATAATATTTGATGATAATTATGTCAAAAGTACATTCACACACGTCTAGTTTAAATTAATCCATAACTTCCTGGTATAGATTACTGAACGACTTATGTACATAATTGCATGTACATATGTATATATGTACATATGTACATGTGTATGAAACATTCTGGACTTATTGGTGTTGCCGACCACTAAAATAGTAATGTTTTATAAATTTTCAAATTTTAATATAGGCCTACTGGAAGATTTAGGTCTAGATCAATAGTATTTGAGTAGGTCTGGCACCAGAAAACAGTTTAATTAACTTCCAAACTTAACTACCTACTAAGAGTAACTAACTTCGTACTATTGCCAGCACCCATTTTTATTTTTAAATTTCCAAAAATTTAAAAACTCGATCTATTCTATTAATTGTAATTGAATCTGAAGCTTACTTAGACCTTTTATTATGTGCTATATGGCATAGATCGTTGGTTAAGAATACTCACCATAGACCGCTGGACTGGAGCAGCTGCGCGTCAGTGGCGGCGTCCGAATGGGGCCATTTGCATTCATTGTTGTTGACGTCGCCGCCAGCTGTTCGTCACATGCCAAATTCTCTCGCGAACGCTTATTTGGATAATCCTTTTGGTTTGCTGTAATGCATAGACGTGAAGCCCAAAAGGGAAATGATAAGTTAGACAAAAATGCAAATGACGTCAACTAAGTAAACAAATGGACCACAAAAAGTTGTCAAACAAAAAGCAAAAACAAAAAGCCGCAAAAATTTTTGTTGACCGCTTTCGTACACTGTTCGTTATAGTCGTCGAAGTCGCGCATGTTTGACAAACTGACGTAAGATTTTTTTTCGTTTTTTATGACTGCGACGATTGCCGTTCACCACTTGATGGCTGAATTTACGTAAAGCAGAGTTTTGGTTTTTGCTGTTTTATTATTATATTTTTAACAATCAAAGAAGGGGCCACTTCAAGGCACCATCTTATCAGCTCAGAACAACAACAATAGCAAAAAATGTGCAATTGAGGCCCGCGTTTATGGCATACATATGTATGTATGTACGTATGCGTATATACATACATACATACATATGTATATGTATTTACTTATGTATTATGGCGTATGAAGGAGAATAGTAAATATTAGTATTGTGACAAATTGCTCGTGCCTTCTGTTTCAACGTTAATTCGTTCACACTGTTATCACCGCAACTTCGAGAGCGCGAACGAGTGTTTTTAGAGCCCTTGTCTATTATGCTACAAGGCAACTATGTATGTTTGTATGTACGTACATACTATACATCAACAACAACAATAACAGAAGAAACGACATCGTATTGTGGAATAAAAATGTCTTATCAGCTTTTCTTGGCTATGGCAAATGAGCGCGCGACCTCAAAGCCTCAAAAACCATAAACCGAACCGAAACAATTTTCGCTCGACAGGAAATGTTGTGCTTGTTGTAAGTTGTTGTTGTTCTTGCTGCTGTGGCATGTTGCCTGTTAACGAAAAACAAGTAAAATTGCATGCCAATGCACTACACACACTCGCACACACACACGCAAAAACAGCGAGTGGCCAACAATTTTGACTTGAAACTCCGTTGCCAAGTTTTCAAGTTGTTGCTGTTGGGGTATTATTATTATTGTTGTTGTTGTTGGTACGTCGACGAATTCGTACTCGAAAGGTCGTTTCAAAGCGGGTTTCGTCGTCGTCAGCGTTGCAGTGTTGCCAGCCCGCTGCAAAAACCTGCTTTGCTTTACATTTTTAGTTGTAGTTGTTGTTGTCGCTACTGCGGCTGTTGCTGTTGAAACGCTTCTTGCTTTTTTTTTATTTTTGAAAGACACGCGAATGTGAGTCACGTATGAAGTAAGTAGAAACTCTGACTGGCTGGGCTGGCTGACTCGTTTGCTTGACAAACAGACAGTCCACGCTTTCGTATGCATGTGTGTGTATGCTCTTGTGTACGTGTATAAGCCTAGGTATGTATGTATGTGTACATATTTGTGTTATGTTTGTTAGTGTGTGTGAATGTGGATGCGCGCTCAAGCACACAGTTTATAAAACAACATATTAAGCGGGAAAATGCTTTTTCTCCTATTGTTGTTGTTAGTGCTACACTACTGAGTGGGATAAATGAAAATAACTCAATTGTGTTTTTAATAGAGCAAACTCCTGCCAATGTAAACAATAAAGTAAAACTATCTTTTCATTTGTTTATTATTTAATTTTGAACTTACCAATTCTGTTATTTGGGATTGGCATACATAACAGAAGACAAGGCGCTTCTCGCTTTATACGCATTTTCATTTCACTTTTATGACTCACGCTGTTGCTGTCTCCGTCGCACTCACAGCAATTGCGTGTTGTTGACGTTGCCGTATTGTTGTTGTTTTTGTTGCTGCTACTGCCGCTGTTGCTGTTGAGCACACACACACACAGAAACAAACCCAAAACACACGAACACGAAAGAACACTTGACAGGCAGGCTGGCTGGCTGCACACGAAAATTGTTTAAATTTAATATTTGTTGCTCGCTGCTGAGGCACTGCCTTTCTATATTAATCTCGTTATATTGAGACGCTTTTTATTGGTTTATTAGATAATCCCAGTGGTTTTTATTGTTGTGGTATAAATTGTGGTTGTAAATTGTCCGCCAAACACACTTCCCGTTTTCATTTGTTGCTATCTCTCTGTGACTGTCTCTTGTTGTTGCTGCTGCTGCTGCTGATGTTGTAGTTGTATTTCCACTTGTTGTTGCTTTTGCGCGTGCAATTGTAATCGCTTTACATTTAAGCTGGTATTGCTCTCGACTTTGTCACAGGAAAATACTTGGGCAACGCACACCCGATGTATTCAAATTTTGTAAAGTTTTGTTTGTTCTATCTAACAAATGACTATTATTTGCACCGTGACTTTAGTTGTTATGTGATCCAATACACTATGAGGCACTCACTCACATACACACACACAGTATTTTAATAAATTTATGAACGCGCTTCTTTTTTTACTCTGATAATGTGCGACACGTACGTCTGCTCTGCTCCATGTTAAATAACAGATTAAATGCTCGGGTTGAACCGGTGTAGCGTTCTCTGCGTGGCAGCCATAAACAGCACTCAATTAACAGTTGAGCACAAGTAACAGTGGCTGCGAGAGCATAAAGAATGAAGCAGAGAAACGCGCAAATACTACTTCACGCGAAGGCGAATGAATTGAGACTGAAACACTCAGTTGGCGGTGGTGCCTTTTATTTTGAGTTTCAAGCAGTGTTGTCAATTTTGACATTTCCCGCCGGGCGGAATTTATGGCAACCTGAGTTTGTCATTTATTCTTTTATAGTTTGTAAAGTAACTCGAAGCATTACAGCATGTAGCAGTCATTGGAAAAATGTGTCTTAAAAGAGTTCTGTATGAAAAGGCTTTAAATTATAAGTATTTTAGTACCAAATTTCACAACGTAACAATTATTTTTAGATAATTATTTTTATATAATTATATAATTTTGAAGTCTTTCAAGAAAAGCTGAAAGAAAGTGGAACAAACTTCTCTTCTGCCAATAAAAATGAAGACTCATTATTGGAAATGAGAATATTTATATTCTGAGCTATTTCTATCTTGTTTCTAGTGCTCATGTAGCTTTTTTGACGGTTGCAATTTGACAACACTGATTTGAAGTGGCTTGAGTGGAGATAAACTCTCTTGTATTCACTCACTCACTCACTCTCATTGAGTGTGCGCACAAATGATAATGAATGGCACCAGATGGCGGTGCTTGTAGCGCCACCTTTGGTTAAGTCACCACCTAGTTTGTTCAAATGCTAACATTGTTTGTCCTACAGAAGACCGATCCTAAAAACCATAAATACATGTTTAAGGTTTCTTTATTTCATAATCTATGCATAGAATATTTATTGACAATTATGTTTGTGCGTGCTGCTGCTCGTTAAAATTGTGTGGTGTTGGTGGTTGCCAGCCTCCAAAGGCGCGTTCCAGTTCCATGGCAACATTTATGCAAAGCCGGTCTTGATATGGGCCTGCAATGACCGAGAATCCAATTGGTAAGCCCTTGGCATTCAGGCCCATGGGCACGTGAGTCGCCGGCAGGCCGAGAATATTCCAAATTAAGGTATAATCAACACCCCATAAAGGTAGGAGCGTCCACCATTTGGGGCAGGAGGCGGGCATGTGCATTGTGGGGAAAATAAAGACACCGTCCTTGCCCAATAGTTGCTACAAAAAATAAAAATGTTAAATAATTGAAGACAAATAAGAACTTTGAGCTTACAGTGAACTTTTCGGTTAGTGCCAATGCTTCTTCCCGATATTTAGATACTTGCTGGAGGGGCATGAAGGCGTTAGCACGTCTCATAAGTTCGAATATTAATGCATTGGTCGTGTGTTTTGATAACCCCAGAAAGCTACGAAGGAACTCCAGCAAGGTTTTCGCCAATGTGCCATCCTTGTTCATGAGATACGACATGTTCTCGAGTCGTGCAATGCCCGAGAGCGCGATTTCCAATGAGTTTTGCATGCCCGGCAACCGGGCGTGCTTTACAGGCAGGCCAAGACTCTTAAGATGGTCCAGACCCTTTCGTAGGACTCCCTTTATGTCCGCATTCACTGATTGGTGCATCAGACCATTGAGCCCCTCAAAGCCCATGGCGTAGTATACCTTAGCACGGTTCAGTTGCACGGCCGGCAGCAGTTTGTCGAGGTTCTCACCCACCATTAGCTCCAACAACTCTGTGAGATCGGTTGCAAAGCGACTCATGGGACCCAACTGTAGGTATTGCTTGAAATCTTCGTCGGTGGATGTGGGAAAATGACCCGTCGTGGAGACTACACCGCCAGTGGGCTTATGGCCGAAGATCCCACAATTCAAGCTTGGTATGCGTATGGAACCACCAATATCAGAGCCTACGCCAAAGACTGAAGCACCAGCACCGTTTAGAGCGCCCTTAAAGAAACATCATGCTATTAATCAAAAGCTGACATTGAAAGGCATATCGCCAATCACCTCTCCACCAGAAGAACCACCCGCTGACCGTTCCAAGTCATAGGGATTGCAACAGCGTCTATTCTGCAATGTGTCTGTCTCTACGCTGTAGCAGTATTCTGGTGTGGCAGAGACCAGCAGTGGAATTGCCCCAGCGGCACGCAGTCGAGCGACTACAGTTCCATCGGCATCTGCTCGAATATGGCTGCGGACGGTGCTTCCCACGGCGAAGGACATGCCGGCCAGTGCGCAGGATTCCTTTATGGTGAAGGGCATGCCTAGCAGTGGAAATTCCTTAAATAGCTCATCAGCGTGCCCAGCGTGTTCCCAAATGCGCTTATCGATAGATCTAGCCTCCTGTAGTGCTGTCTTAAAACGATCCTCGACCACAGCATTCAGCTTCGGATTTACGTCCTCAATTCGTTTTATATAAGCGTTAACCAGATCTACGGAACTAAGCTGTCAATAAACGCATTAATGATTGGAACTGTAAACCAGTCTCTCAGAAAATCGTGAAAACTGACATTTCTTCTCCGTTGTTATGTACGTGTATTGCTGAGCTTAAAGAACAAACTGGACTCATCTTTGTATTATTAATAATTCAATTGATTTTTTATTATTCCGATTTTATTTCAAGTACAATGTATGTAAACAAAAAAACCTAATTTTAAGTTTACGAGGGCAGTTGAAAATGTTTCGAAGCCGGGCCGTGAAGACGGACTCTAATACTAACCAAACTTTGGTTAGGTAAGGCTATTTTTAATGTTTTCTCAAAAACTTGAGCCATATCGATATAAGGGCATTATTTTACAATCGATTAACTAATTAAGTCGATATCAGTGCGATTGCAATGATGAAAAAAGTTGAATATCGTAAGGTCATAAGTTATTTGTTTTTAAAGGCAATACGCCTATTTAAATCAAAAACAAAAACGAGATTTTTGCTCAATTTTTGCATAATAAAGTAAAGACTTAAGGACTAAAGGACGTCCAAAATATCTAACCACTGGCGAAAACATCTCCAAGATTCACTAAATGGTTCTAGACGACTCCCGTATTAAAGCAGAAGAGACAGCTAATACCATCAAGATAAGATTTTGGAATAAGGCTTTGGAAATATTTTCAACCGCTAGGAGACAGACATTTTCAACAAATAAGTAGGCTATTACCTACACATCTTTTATTAATAACAAATATACAAGTATGTGACATGGCAAATGGAATCTTAAGCCTTTTGAAATAAATTCTTAAAAAAAAAAATTAAAACCTGTGTAAAGACTTTGAATTAAAAAAAAAAACAATAATAATTTTGTTGATTAACTTCAAGCAGATAGTGGCTGGACCTAAGAGCATTAAGGTGTAGTTAGTTAGTAGTACTCTGCAAAAATTCTTATTCGCGTTCCTCTTATCATGCATCTTCTGACTTACTTGGCGGGCTTTAAGCTTGTTTCGCAAATCACGCACGCTAAGCGTCAGCAGAGGATCGCGAATGGATGGCAAGCGGGTGGCAGAACGGGGGCGGAGGTATGCTAAAACGCATTGCAGCGGATAAATACACAAAGCGACGACTTTAACTGTAATTAGAATGAAACGCAGTAGAATCTCCATTTCGCCAGCCGCGCACACACAGAACCGAAGCCAATGGAAGACACCGACAAACTGATCGACTGAGCGAGCATCGTTCGCGAATTAACCAGCGAGAGAGTTGCGATTTATGAGCACGTTCGGCTGTCAATTGGAGAGTCGTCCGATCAGTGTTGCCAACTTTTTAGAAGGAAATAAGCTGATTTTGACGGGAAATAGAGTGAAATAAAGCTAAACAATTTTACAAACAAGCTACATCTCTTTTTAAAAAAATGCTAAAAAAAATGTATTTTCAAGGTTTTTTAATAAAGTTGGTGGACATTTCATATGATATTCGCGCATTTTGTTCCATGATACGAGGACATGGCGCCTTCAAAAAGTAGTGTGAGTGAGTAGCTAGTGTAAAAGTAAAGTAGCTTAGTGTAATGTGCCCTATTTCTGTAGGCTGAGCAACAAATAGGCACAACGCCGCTTCTAGTTTCGATGGCTTCAAAAACCAGCAGAAAATTTGTATTTTGGAGAATTCAATTTTGAATGAAAGATGGTTTAAGATAGTAGTGTCATTGGATATTGATAAAAAAAATAATGATAAAGCTGCATAGTTTCCACTTTTTTTTACATAAATGTTGGCCAAACTACAAAAAGCGGAAAAAGCTGAATGTACTTAAAAAAGCCTGAATTCGCGCTTTCCGCAATTTTGAATTTTGACGGGGAAAAAGCCAAATTGGCAACACTGATTGGAGAGCCGTGCCATATACATATGTATGTATGTATGTATATGGAAATATCAGAGGAGATGGTGGAGTGAGAGCTAAGAGTAAAGTCTCTTGTATGGAAACCCCAAGTGCATTTTATTGTAAAAAGTTTAATAACTATACCGTTAACCTTATTTACAAATAGTTGTATTGCATTTTATTCTATTTGGCCAGCTGATGTGGTACGGGCGGAACCCAGCCCTTGAAGGCGCCCTCCAGTTCGGCAGCAATCTGCAGGCACAGCTTGTCCTGATAGGGTGCAGCTATCACCTGAAACCCAATGGGCATGCCACGCTGATTCAGACCCATGGGCACATGCGTCGATGGAAAGCCGAGCACATTGAACAACAACACAATATCAATGCCAGTAAAGTTCAGCACGGAAGTGTTAAAACACAGGGCACTGGTGTGGAAGGTGGGTACAAAGAGCACCCCATTATTTCCGAGAATAGTCTATAGAAGGGGGGAATAAAATGAATAGAAAGGCTTACGAGTAGGTACATATGTGTGTTTGAAATCTGCTTACACTCATTTGCTTTTTGATTGTCTTAGCCTCTTTGCGATACTGTTCCATGTGGCTTTCAAACATTAAAGCATTGAGACGCTTCATTAGCTCCAGGAACAGCGCCTCCTTGGTAAACAGGGAGTGGCCAATAAGACTGTTGAACATCTCCACAACTAGCAGCCGCATGTGTGGCTGCCGATGGGCTTGTTGTGTCACAATACTGGGTATACCCTTCAGATCGACAAGGGCCACCAGCACAACCTCCATGCAGTTATGCAGAAATTTCAGATCAAGCTGGGATTGATGATAGTTGATTGATAAATAGTTGGATAGATATAGTAATCGATCTGCCACTCACCTGTTTCGGCTGCATGCCGGCCTTTTCAAAGCACTTGACTGCCCTCAAGATGCTCAGCTTGATGTCAAAGTCCAGCATTGGATGTGTGAGCGCATTCAAGCCAGAATAGCCGTAGGCGTAATGTATCTACAAGGAGATAGGGCTTAAGTAAAGTAGACAGAGCTAGTCCTGCACATTAAGGTGCTACCTTGATGTCCTTTAAGGCCACCGGTTCATTCATTTTCAGCAAGTGCTTATTCTCACCAGCCATTATTTCGAGCAGCAGCGGCATGTCACGAGCAAACCGTGTCAGCGGTCCTATCTGTAGATACTTGGGCATATTTTTGTCAGTCGCCGAGTTCGGAAAGTGACCCTTGACGGATATAAGCCCTCCAGTGGGCTTGTGGCCGAACACGCCACAGAACATGGCAGGTAATCGTATAGAGCCGCTGATATCTGAGCCAACTCCAAATGGCGTGGAACCGCTGCCATTCAAGGCTGCCTCTCCGCCCGAGGAGCCGGCAGTGGTGCGACGCAGATCGTAGGGATTGAGACAGCGACCATGGGCCACTGTGTTTGTTTCGAAACTCATACAAAACTCGGGATTGGCCGACACAAGCATGGGAATACCGCCAGCTGCCCGCAGAAGCTCGACCACGTCGCCATCCTGGGGTGCCTTGATGTTCTTGCGCACTATGCTGCCCACCTCATAGGAGAGCCCTTAGGAAATGGGGATTACATGAGCCATATAATGTTCATATTATTTTATACTAACCTTTGACAGAGCACGACTCTTTCACACTGAATGGAATTCCAAGGAGTGGATAACGCGTGAAAAGCGCCACACGATCAAATTCGGAGCTGGCCTTCGCAATAAAATCATCCGCCAGCTGAGCCTCATTGAGTGCTTCCTCGAAACGATCTTCGACCACAGCATTCAATGCCGTGTTTACTTCCCGGATACGTGTAATATATGCGCTGACCAAATCCACCGATTTAAGCTGTATGACAAACAGAAATTGAGAGAGAACGGACGGAATTTGCTTTGCAAATGTTCAATACTTCGCCGCGTCGCAGTTCCGTAGACAGTTCTGTGACCGATTTCAAGAGTATGGGATCTCTTATGGGGGGATAGTTTGGTTTCTTGCACGGCAATATTATATCCAGAAACTTATTAAGCACCGTGCAGACGGCGGTCATAATTAGGGCGACCAAACGAATAAGAAACTCCATGATCAAATAGACAGCAAATTCAAATGTTCCTACGATTCGAGGTCACACAGAAGGTTAATTGAAATGCGTTCGATTGATGGTCGCGCGTACTTTGCGACTTTGACCAATAATGTGGTACTACTTGTAAGTAGGTCCGTTGTCAGTTCGCTTTGCTAAATTCTTGGGCATTAGAACACGCGCTTCGACGTCTGAACACAAACTGGGGGTATCAAAGCGGCTTTGTCGTTTTGGTGCATAAAATTCGAATTTAATTCGATACGATTTCGATTTAATTTCAAATAAATTCTCAGCACTTTGTGCCAGTGTTGTGAGGCGAGCTTTTCTGATTGATATAATTGTATTATATTTATTTATTTCCTTAGTTATTGTTACACTTCACTTCTGTGCTAAACGAAATAAATATACACGTAGTATGTTTTTTTGGGAAAAAAGGGCGCATTTTAAAATGCGCGCAACGCATTACTTAAAAATATGTAAATAAATTCGACTATAAACTATATCAGTGAAAAACAGATAACAACTATAATGTAGCTTGACTGATATGCTATACATATGTACGAGTATATAGTACTTAGTAAGTCAAAGAGTAAACTCAAATAGGCAGATTGGTATAGGCGCGAAAGAGATGACTATACGGTTGAATGGAATATGTGTTGTTCTCAGAGAAGTACAGTGCTGCACAAAAATGGCGATATCGGTTAAATAGCGCGCGCAAAATTGACATCAATATGTTTTATTCTTTCACACAGTGTTTTCCTTAGCTCCTAGGGCTTAGTTCCTTTATGTCCAATCCACACGAGAAATGACAATTATACGAGTATTAATAAACAAGTGATAAACAAATAATTCCGAGTAGCAAGTACTACGGGTATTTACCTCCTTGGACATTGCTCGTGTATGTCGGACATTTGTTTTTAAGGAACTTACATATACATATACATTCATTTGTATTTATGGGTTCCTGTATATATGTATGTACCTATGTGTATATATGTATGTATATATATTTATTATTTAATGACAGCATTCGGTTTACATATTTATTGTATTCTGCATAAATAAATTATTATCATTAAACTAGTGCTAATTTCATATTTATTTAGTTTTATGCTAAAATTGTTTAATTAGTAGATATGTTTGCGTGTGGTGTGCCGGACACGGCAGACAAGCATATGCGCCTGCATGTCCGCCCCTGTGTCCGTGTGTGTGTATGTTTGTTGTCAAATATATGCACACATACTATATAGCACATATATCAGATCTTTCCCAAGTGTTTTCCATTTATTTAATATATGCATGTATGCATAATACTCTATATAATTAGATATTAGCATTAATTTATTTATTGTCTAAAACATTTTCCACTTCCCCATTTCCCCAATTCATCCATCAACTTATGCTCTAAATCGCTTCCTTTCTCGCTGACTAACTGACTAACTGACTAACGCATTCTTCTAACTAATACACTCAAATAATTTTGGCTACTTATGTGACTATGGCGCCTACACACCGTGTACATTTTTAATTTATTTTGTGTAGACTGATCTGAATCAGGCTTATTGATGCAGTGAACGGAGCACAGTACCCCGCGCTGAGACAATAGCTTAGCGGAGCATTTGACATCGAACTATTTTACGGATTAATAAAAAGGAGATACAAAAAGAGCTCTATAATCGACGCAACACTCCGGGGCTCTCGAGAGTGTAACGCCACAACGAAATGCAATGCTAAGCTAATCCCACGAGTGCTTGCCTCGCTTCAATGCATCATGTATCAAATGTTATGTCTGTCCAATCTCCGATTCCACTTTCGATTACTTGAAGTAGTACGGCAGAGCTAAATTTTAGACTGCTCGAAAATGGAGTCGGTCGTGGGATAGAACAGCATTTATAGTGCTTTTTCAGTTGTTCGCTTAGGTCATATGCCAGTCCCCCTTCAGAATTCGTGTGAAGGTCTTCTTGAACTGCTGATTGGCGAGTGCATAGCAGAAAGGATTCATCGGACTGTTGGCATAGCACAGAAAATAAGAGAACATATACAGATGTGCGTTCGTGCACGGCGGGTTGCGGCAGAAGCCCTCGACGAGGGCCAGCACATGGTATGGCGTCCAGCAGGCCACAAAGCAGCCCAGAATGAAGGAGATGGTGCGAAACGCTTTGCGTGCACGATTCTCTGATTTCGACTTCTGTCTACCGCCACCAATGACCAACGGTAGCGCCTTCTTGCTCTTGAAGTGCTTCCCTATCGAGTGCATAAAGTCGCGTTTGCTGGAGCTGCGCCTAGAGACGCCGCCGCCACCACCGACATCGGGGTCACTTTTTTTGATGCTGCCTCCGGACGTGGGCTTGACATCTGCCTGGGAGCTGCTGGTGGTGCCCGATGTGGAGGGCATTTTATTTGTATTCGTGTCCGAGGTTTCACGCTCCTCAATGCGCTCCAATGGAGCGCCCGATGTTGCCGCTGCAGCGCCACCGCCCAACGATGAGTGCCGCTCGGTTGTTGCCGTCAGTTTTATTGGCGGCATTGGCGAGTAAAGTATAGCATCCTTACTCCTAGACTCTAGAGGGCTGGAGGCACGTCTATGTGGGCAGTCATTTAGCAGCTTGTTGCCCGGCACGTCCAGCAAGCAGATGGCCTCGATGCAACTTTCACGACGCACCTTCGCGAAATCCTCGATGCCTGTGTACGAGACGAGAAGACGTTTTTCAATGGCTATCTCGCCATCTTTTTGGCTGCTGTTACTGTTGTTGTCGGGAACCACATCGGAGAGGGGCAGCACTGTCGAGGCGGTGGGGGAAATATGCTTGCGTGCAGGTGGCGGTGGTGGGACTGAGCTTCGAGTCGGCTGCAGCCCCGAACCATTGCTATTATTGTTGCTACTATTGTTATTATTGGTTTTGGCTTGACTGGGAGCGGGTTGAGGTGATTGTTGTTGTTGTTTTTGTGCCGATTTCTGTGCCTGCGGAGTGCGTGTGGCAGTTTTGGATCTGCCACTGGATTGTGTGGTTGCTGTTGGCTGATTAAGCGAGCAGCTTAAACTGCCGTTGGTGGTGGGAGAGGCCATCATGACCGAAGTCTCGTCCATGAAACGTAGCTCGGAGTTATTGGTAAGCAGATCATAGGTCATGGCCAGTTCACTGTTGCCGGAGCTATTACCAAACGGGCGATCCGAATATTCGGAGAAGGGCGAGGGGCACTGGAATTGCTCAGGTGGCGGCAATATGGCCTGCACCAAGCACTGTTGCACTTGTTCGCGCGGCACTTCAATGGGTGCTATGTCGACGGGTGAGAGCGGGCTCTTGGGGTCACTCGGTTTGCCATGGAAAGGATTCTTATGGGTGCTGCTATTTGTGGTTTGGAAATCAATGAGGCGCTCATGCTCGGCTATCTGGGAGAGCGTAGAGCAGGAGGTGCGTTTGGGACGCTCGAGTTGCATATGATGGTGATGGCCAACCTCCTCCTTGCTCTGCGCTCGCTTCAGAGTGCTGGAACTCATGTCCGTCGTCGGGGGGCAGGGCAAGTGAGTGTCCGACGTGGCCATGGCCTCGCTGGACTTGGAGGTGGGTGTACTCTGATGCAAGTTACCTTTGCTGCGTGTCGCCATTAGCGCTGCCTGTGCACCAAAAACTAGACCAATGGATGAACGCTTGCGCAAATTGGTCATCTTCTGTTGATTGATAAGCTGCTGTGCTTGATTTACAGACGATTCCTCATCTGAGTCGAATGCGGGACTGCTGGAGCGTTCACTCTTCTCCGCTTCAGCGGCATCACGTTTGGCTTCCTCGATTTTAGCCTCTGAGGCTCGCCGCTGCTCGGGCGTGAGGTTCTCGACCAGCGTACAGTTGATGGCATCGCTCTGCGCCAGCGGATTGGCTTGGCCTGAACCGCTCAGACGCTTTACGGCCGTCGTGCCGGAGCCGCTGTCCGTCAGATCTGTTAGACCGCCGGCCAATTCCACCTTTGTCTTCAATATTTTCTCCTCGATTACACCAATGCCAGCAGCATGACCCGCCATGCCAGACATGGCGCCCGCACTAAGTGCCACCATGGATTGCATTTTACGCTGCTTAGCCTCGCTGCGTTTTTGCATCTCGTATGCCGTCTTGTAGATGCCCGCATACAGGACGAATAGCACAATTAGCGTCGTCCAGTAATAGCCAATGATGAGTGCTGTGTTAAACACCGGATCCTTAAGGAATTGTACGGCACACTGACCGGGCAATAAGTCGCGCTTGCCAGTAAAATGCTCCCAGCCGAAGATGGAGATGAAAAAGAGCAGGGCTGGTATAATCCACGTAATAGTGACCATATAGATGACGCGCTTCTTAGTTCGCCAACTCCGATATTTGGCCGCTATTTTAACAGAGCAATAACGATCGATGGTAATAAGCAGCACTGTATATTGGGAGACTAGGCAGACGGTATAGTCCACAGATAGCCAGAGATCACAAAGCAGCGGTCCTAGATCCCAATAGCCCATCAGCACGTAGACCGTGTAGAAAGGCATGGACACAGTGCCTGCGAAATGAAATTGGAGGATGATTAAGTAAGCGGTGTAGTTCAAGAACTTTAAAAAATAATAGCCATTAGCATTCAAAGGGTTTAAAGAATCCTTACATGAACATGTTTTTACAAAAAGTTATATAAGGGCTGTTGAATGTCAAAAATGGCAGTAGGTATTTCCTATTCCTATTAGCTATGTTTGTCCGTATGAACCCGAAGATCTCAGAGACTATAAGAGATAGAGACACATGATTTTCAACACAGCTTCTTCCATTCCATAAAGTATATATACATTCTTAGAGCCCAGTTGACTTAGCTATGTTTGTCCGTATGAACACCTAGATCTCAAAGACTATAAGAGCCAGAACCACCTAATTTTCCACAAAGATCCGTTTCATGTGTATGCAGTTCAAGTGCGTCTAACAATTTCCCTCCTTCCACCGTTACAGAATTTTATCAGTACAGTCTACAATTGCAAAGAATTAAAGTACCTACCTATCAGCATATCCGTGGCGGCTAGAGAGGCAATGAAATAGTTGCTAGGCTGTCGTATATTCCGGTCGACTATGAACGCCATAAGCACAAGAATATTGCCTCCGACCGTCAAAATGATGCAGATGGCCAGGCACAGAGCAATGGCTATCGATTGCCATGTCTCGAATGGCGGCAACACCAACGCCGGACCGCTGTCCATTGTCGATACATCTGAGTTGTTACGCGCCACGCTGGTGCCATTGAAGCTGAAGTTGCGATACCATTGCAATTGTTCATTGGCCGACCATGAATTGAGGTCCGTATTCTCGCCATAGATTTTGGCCGCCTCAAGTAGACGTTTGCAGTCGCTGTGTTTCAACACACGATTATAGAGCACGCGACAGAGATTTTCCCGTTCCTTGCGAAGGCGCCTAAGAACAGAAAAGTGTAAGAATATTTTTCCAATTATTCAAATGAATGCGTATTTTCTAAACATAAGTATATTAGTTAACTAACACAAAACATGAAGAGAAACTCACCATTCCGTAATCCAATTAGACTTAATGGAGTAGATAGAGTCAGTTTTATTGTCAGCATCCAGGCCGGACATGCTAAGATCTTCCTCGTTGCTGTGCAAACCCGAAGTTCTGGCCATTGTGCGCTCACTTAATCAGCTCTTGCTGCTCTCTCTCTCTCTCTCTCTATATATATATATCTATATATATATATATATATATATATATATATATAAATGGTTTGTTTTCGACTTATTGTCCTATGTCCTCCACCTGTTTACATTGCCCTCACCCGTGCACAATTACTTGCTAAATGGCGTCCCTGCTGATGTTGTCCGCCTCGACGTTGTCGTCGTCGTATCTGCCGACCAGGTGCACCATCTGTAAGAGAAAAAAGAAGAGGCTGCATGAGCATAACTCAAGTTGTCTTGGCAGCCATTCACAGCTTCCGCCAAAGTTTAAACTAATTTTGTGGCCATTTACTGGCAACTGGCAGGCAGACAGACGTAGACATGACCATTGCAATTTTCTCGCGACAAGCGCTTCCGTCGCCCTTAGCGCTGTTGGCCTCCATTCAGCAGCGACGGCTCATTATATTATGGAATGATTTGCTTATGCATCCGCCCCAGCCCTCCACGTCTCCGTCGGCACTTTAACTTGGCCGAGCCACTTGATTTTCAAGGAGCTCTTTCACTGCCATTCACTATTCAGTTATGCGTTTGGCTTGTCACTGATTTTCTCTTCTAATGGCATTTATTATTTAAAACTAAATATTTACAGGCGGACGCAGGAGAGGACCAAACCGGATCGGACCGTATACTTTGTCGTCCGCTGTTGCATTTATTCATCCTTCAGTTAAGTGAACGCAAAGAAAACTGGAAAGTTTTTCCAGCTCGTTTTTCCCCCCCTCGTGATGTTGTTAACAGCAAAGATAACTGTAAACACCAAACAACAACACAGCAACAGAAACAGCAAAAAAAAAGTGCAACACCAAATCAAATTCTCAAGTTTGAAATATAATTTTAAAACAAATCGATAAGTTTCCTTTCTGTGCGCAAATTCCTCAGCAGTGAATTGAGTTACTTAGTCGCCTGTCTGTTTGTTGGTGTTGTTGCTGTTGTTGGAGTTGTTGGAGTTGTTGTCATGTCGCTGCTTTGTTGTGTTTGTCGTTGCCTGAGCTCTGGGCCGACTTGCAAGCTCTGGGACTGCGCCTGACGTGGCAATGTCGCATGCCAGCCACCACTTTTCTGGCAGGCAGATTGAGTGGAAATTGATTTAGCAAAGTCAATTTGTTTTCATTTAATTCCCAAAACACTAAAGGTGAGTGTTTAGTTATTGGTTTTGGCTTTTTGTCTCCCCATGATTCTCACATGTTTACACACACACACACACACACACACACACACATCAATACACATTCACATCCAAACACACACCCACTGACAGTCTAATCAGAGTTATATTTCTATCGACATCTATTTGTACTCGATATGCTTCGAATTTTGACGTCAGCTTCCTCTTTGAGTGTGAGTGAGCAATAAGAAAATTCGATCCGCAAGTGGGGTAAAATCGCGGGTAAAGTACATATATGCATACTACTTATATAATAGATGTGTATATGTACGATGTGAAATGGAATAACTGCCTTACATTCACCTGAATTATGATGGATGAACACAAGATGAAATTGCTTTGTGGTAACAGATTTGGCAATTTGCAAAAGTTGGAGAACATCTCTTTAGAGAGTGGCGCGCTTATCGATGACCATAGAGGACCAGAAGTAATTATTGTTAAGAAGCAAGTAGCAAAAGGCTTTCCCTTCCTTTTCGCAATCAAATTGAAGGATAAAAATGTAATTATGCTAATGACTTACGATGTTGATAATATGTTTATACTCTGTACCCAAAGGGTGTTAGTTTTTTGCGAGAGTGTACATGTAACACACAGAAGGAGGCGTGACAGACCCCACAAAGTATATATATTCTTTATCCGTTAATGGCTAGTCGATATAGCTGTCTGTCTGTCCGTTTGTGTGTATGAACGCAAGGAACTCAGAAAGTATAAGAAAGTATAAGTATAATAACCATTCTCCTAAGCCCGAGAAAGGGCAAGTTTGACAATTTTTTCAGATTTCTCCTGTTTGCTTGTTGAACTATGCCCGGCTCCGGAATTGATAGTGAAAAAAATTAGGAATAAGCAGGAATAAGAATCGCGGAAGTGGAACAGAGTCGCGTACTAGAGAGTTGACAGCAACACATAGAGTCAGTGGAAACTCACTTGTTAAAAAGAGACTCAAATTAAAATTAAAGGCGAAAAATTCTAAAAATATGCCTAAATATTTAATATTTAAATAAATTACAGATATACGATGTTATAAGTATTACAAACTACGCGCTGTTTATATAGAATAGACAGTGAGGTATCCAGAACTTTAGTGGTAAATATAATAATTGTGACAATTTCCTCATATATACATATGTACTATATGTATAAATTTATTTAGAAAAAAGAGTTCTTGTCCTTCCCGGACTTTGGAGAATCTGGATTTTAAGGTTGGTTTTTCTTGCTTTTAAACTTTCTTCTGGGATAGATCTTAAAAAGATTAAAGATTTTTAAAATACCTTGTGAGATCCTTGCGTGCATACAGACAGACGGACTGACGGGCAGGCGGACATTTCTATATCGACTCGTCTTGTGATACTGATCATACCTCCCTTTCTGTGGGTTACATTTACACTCTCACTAAACTAGTATACCCTTTTGGCCTTCGAGAGTAGGGTAAAAATATTAGTTTAAGCACGTTATATTTTTCTCTTCTTACTTGAATTTACTGCTTAGCTATTACTAAGTTAAATAGTTAATAGTTAAATTTTTATTTTACTTTTAAGAAGCCACACTTACATTGAAGAATTATGCAATAAAATTATCTACGGCACGTCCTCAAATTTTTTTCTTAACTCGAAATCCCCCATGAAAAGCACCTCAATCAAAGGAAAGTCAATTTCTATGCTAATTGAGTGCGAAAAAAAAAATTTGAAGAGCAGGCAGCTGAGCAGCAAATAAATTTCTTGAAATGGGTTTCTGGTTAAAGCTAAAGCAGCAGCTTTTTAAAGCTGGCAGGATAATGAGGGCAAAGCGTATTACATAGTTCTTCGGAAGGACTTTTGTATAAGCTAAGAAATTGTTGAGCACCGACTAAAGGGTTGCTCTCTTAGTTATAATAAGCGAAGCAAAGTATTTCGAAAGAGATTTGCAAATTTTGCCAATGCCAATGCTCAATACAACGAGTAAGCTGTCAGCCAACCAGCACGTGCAGTTTTACCCGTAAGCCTGATTATGAAACTAAAGCTGCTGTTCGAATTGGATGCCATCGACATTGTTAGCTTTGCCACTCGGCTTATTGTGTATTTGTGGTGAGCGTTGCAAATTGACCGCAAAGACGAGCGGGGACATCAAAGGCTGCAAAGTTCCACTGAAGCAGCTCGAAGTGTGTGGCTTGACATGAAGAACTTTAACCCCCTTTGGCACAGTGGGTTAGATATAGTACCATTAATATTATTATGTATGTATATGTATATGTATATGTATATGTATATGTATATGTATATGTATATGTATATGTATATGTATATGTATATGTATATGTATATGTATATGTATATGTATATGTATATGTATATGTATATGTATATGTATATGTATATAAAACTGTACATATCTTCTGTGGTTGTCGGCTGAATTCGATTACAAATTAAATTCCCAGAGTCTTATGAGCCCGATTCCTAAAACCCTATACCAACTGTTTGTCCAAGTACAACTTTTCAACTAGCATCAAATTTTTGCTACCAATCATTCCAATGGCTACTCTATGATATAATTTACATATTCTTAAAAAACTTTAGATTATAAAGAGCCAGAAAATTCATAAATACCCGATCGCAATTCTGTAATCACAGCCTAAGTCCGTTGTTATGTTCAGCATTTACGTATTAAGTATTCAGTTTTACGTTTTTATGTAAGCATCAAACGGGTTTAGCTCCTATCCCGGATTGAAATTTTAAAACTTGATATCGATTGAAAGGCGTTTTATTAATTAATTAATTAAAGATCAAAAAGTTCCTAAAGACTTAAAAAAACATTCTTATGATACATTTAGACTTACTTGTATACTTGTAATAGGCTGACTACAGCAAAGTATCAACGTTGATTTCGAAAAAGTGGTTTATTTTATTAGACAAATCCTAATTAAACATATAATAATAAAAAACACAACCTTTTTTTTAAATAACAAAAAGAAATACGAAAAACGTTAAAACATGTTTAATTGTATTTAGCCTTTTCGAACTAAAGTGGAAAACCGCATTGCAATCAGAAAAATTACGGCATACGAACGGTTAAATACATAAATACTTGTATTCTGTATTGTAAGAATTAAGTCTGTTCAATTATTCTCAAATTTGGCAGACAAAAAATATGCTTAAGTATTTTAATATCAATATTCAAAATGCGTTAGAAATTATAAGTTGTTCAATGCGTAACATACTTGTAAATTTCCTTATGATCACACAGATTTCATTCACAAACAGATTTCAAAAAGGTTGACTATCGATTAAGCTTGGGGGCCCCCAACCATTACGGTAATATACAAGTAGATGTGCGAAAATTTGTAACAAACATTTTCGATATAAATTGATGTAAGGAATTTTTCGTACTGATCGTTATTGATTAAGGCCTTCATTGACAAAAGTGAAAGGCCATATTGGTTTTTGTGCGTTAGTTTGTAATACCCATGAAGAAATGGTTAATGTCCAAGGGCGTAGGCACAAAAAATTTTGCCATATAAAGTCGACCACACGTTCATTATTAAGACGCAATATTTCGCCTTAAAATGGATCTGAGTTGGATTTGTTGAAGTTTTTTCATTGATCATATGCATAAGTTATTTTTTAAATGCATCGTGATTTATTTAATCAAAATTTTAATTTTTTGGCTCCCCCCTTTGGTAAAAGCTGCCTACGCCCTTGTTGATGGCTGTTCATTCATTTGTCTGTCTGCCTGCTTCAATCACTACTATTCTTGTCATAGTGTTATAGCTTTACTGGTGGATGGTTTTCTATTGAAAAAGCTAGAAATTAAATTT